GAAGGCAAACATGTAGGTATTAGTAGCCACACTACAAATGAAAAAACAGGCTGAGGAGGGTGGAGAGGAGATGAATATTTATTCTGTGCTTACTCTGTAGCAGGCGCTGAGCTAGGAGGTGATGATTTCTTCCTTCTCTCAATACCCTTTCAAGGGCTCTATCATTATTTCCATGTGTATGTTAAGAAAAGGAGTGTGAGAAAAATCAAACAACTGCCTCAGGGTCACACAGCTCATAGAGGTTAAAACTCATATTCAAGATGTCATTCACCTATCCACCCCAAAAGGTCACAGAATTTGAAATGGCAGAGCCATGCACTCTGAAGTAAGCCTACTGGTCTATCGAAGCAGTGACCCCCTCAACATATCTGGTCATCAGAAACACTTCAGAACATTCTAATAAACTAGTATTTTGAGCATTAGTCCTGTGGTCTGATTCTTCAAGTCTGAGGCAGAGCCTAAGATGATGTATTTTTAACAAGCTCTTCCCAGTGATTATGATGTTTTAAAAAGCACAGGCCTGGAGCACATGGCTTCTCTGCTGACCCAAGTCTCCCAGGACATCTTCATTTCTCAGAAGCACAGATCTAGTCCAGTCCTTCATTTACCACAAGTAACATTTGTCACTGAATCCATTATTCATCTGTTCTAGGCTCAGTGTGCAACAGCTTTTGAGTACCTGTAATATGCCAAGCATTGCACCAGAGAAAGAGGTAGGGTTGCATTGCTTTAGGAGCACAGACTACCTTTGAAACAATGATCCTCAGTCAAGACTTATAAGAGTTAGCAAGGCAAAGAGAGGGTAGAAGGGTGAGGAATGGCCAATGAGGCAGAGGGAATAGCATGGAAAGTTCCATAGACCCAGCACAATGGTTCAGCTCTATATGGCAGTAGAATGGGAAGTACCTTGGGAAGAGAGCCAGGAGGTGAGTATGGAAAAATCAGGGAAAAAAACACATGAAAGACCTTGTGTGCTATGTTAAGGACTTTAGTCCTTATCATAAAAGTGACAAGAAGCTACAAAACAATATTAACTTTGAAATCAGATGATTAGATTATGTTTTAGAGGAGTCACTCCGAAAGAAAGGATAAACTGTAGGCAGGAAAAGCTGGCAAAAGAGGAACAAATTAGTTGTGGAATTAGGAATTTATGTATGTCAGAAAGCACCATAAACAAAATTTTGAAAGCAAAGCACTTGGAAAGCATATTTGCAGCATTTCTTGACAAAAATAATATTCTTGAAATTACAAATTGATAATAAAGATAAATATACCAATATCAAATAAATAGAAAATTCACAAAGGAAGAAGGTACATATGGTCAATAAGCATAAGAAAATGTCATTCACTAATAAGCAAAGAAAGTTAAAACAAGTTGAAAATAACATTGACATGCTATTATTTTGCCTATCAAATTGGTGAAGATTTGATAAGTGATAATACCCAGTGTTACGCAGGGCCCAGGGAACAGAACACTCTGGAGGCTATAAATGGGACAGTGTTTTGGTACAAACTTTCTGAGTGGTGGTTGGCAACAGGTATCAAAATCCTTAAAAATAGCAAAGCAATTTCCTTCTTGAATTGTATCCTAAGAAAACAGGTATGTGTAAAATTTAGTGATAAGAATGTCTGTTGCAATGTTATCTACCATAAAAACTGAGAATAAATGAAATAATCATTATTTGGAGACTGATTACAAAGTGAGGGTCCATCCATATAATGAAGATGCTATCGAAAAAGTTTGAAAGACATGCAGAAAACGTTCATGATATATTAAGAGTACTAACAGAAGGAGCAAAAAAATGTGTCTGAAATGCTACAATTTGTGTTTGAAAATGTGTATCTGTGGGATATACAAGAAATTAGAGAGAAACTAGATATTAGTAGATAGGGCAAGTTACTTTTCACTATAGAGCTTTTTATATTTTTGAATTCTGTATCTGTGTATATATTCTAAAATATAAGCATACATTTTGAAATATATATAGTGTGATCCAGTTTTGTTTTTCATAAAAAAACACAAGAAACCCTGCATATATGTGTGTATATATTTATACCAAAAAAACCCAAAACATATATCCAAAAGGATAAAAATGTATTATATTGGGTGGTAGGATGATTGAATTTTGTCTTTTTTTCCTGTTTTCTACAATACACTTGTGAGGCTTTCATAATTAAACAAAAGGTATGGATATTTTTTCCCTCAAAGAGTTTATCATAAAAGTCCAGGCAGAAGGTGATATACAGGTCAGATCCATGGTTAGTATTCTGTCTACATAGTTCAACACTGACATCCACCAAGTGTGTAATTAAATCACAGTCCCTTTTTTAGGAGGGGTGGAGAGAAGGAAGCTGAAGACTTGGTAAGGTGAATGGACCTGATTTTGCTTAACAGTTCTCTGAAGTCTCTGTGAGACAAATGCACAGAAAATTCACTCTACAACCCCAACATTAATCGTACTTCAGGCAGCTTATTCTGGGGGGAATCATTTAAGTTTGGGTCACAGTGAATGGAATTCCAATAAACATGTATATCTAAGTCACTGATAAGCCAATAGTCTGTATATTTGTTATGTGAGGTTCCACAGAACACATACTTCTGGTTTCTTAGCTTTCTCCTCAGGAAGGACCAGTCTTATCTCCATCTATCCAGCCCTGCCCTAATGCACTCATTCAAACAAGACTTCTCTCCTGCCAACATGCTGGAATAGTTATACAGAGTCCTTTCAGATGCATGAAGAACAAAGGAAGACCCTGCCAGTTTGAACTGGTTCTGCAGGCCACCTCTGTCCTCATCTTCACTCTTCAGATCCCAACAGTTTTGCCAATTCATGAACTTCCTGGGCTGGAGGTTTGGGAATAAGGGAGTTTTGCACATAGTCCTATGCTAGGCCTGAGGGTAGTTTTGGATTGGATGTCATGTGAAGCCACTTTGGAGGAAGAGGATAGAAAGAAGGCTATGGCAGGGGTGGGAGATAGGAACAGAGAATATGGCTGCTGGAATGGCTTTTTTTTCCTTATCCTCTTCTCCAGAGGTGAGCAACTGTTGACCCTTGGATATTTCTAGCACCTTCCTGCAATGCCTGTTGAAAGTGTTTGGGGAGCTATGTAAATATAACCTGTGCTGCTGGCTTGTAGGCCCCTTGGCAGTGATTGGATCTTGCAATGGCAGAGTCTCTGTTTAAACAAATAACCCATAATTAACTTCGGGTTTCATTTTGGTCTGTACCTATAATTGCCATCCTTTCCCACTGCTGAGGATGGGTAAGGAATGCTAGGAGGATTGTTCAGATACATGCTGGCCCTATCAGCAAGTAGAAGTCAATGTACAGAAATGACATGTGGTTCTCAGCTATTTTCTCCTGGTGGGTGGCTGCTTTGACCACTAGATTCTGGCCTCTATAGTCTTTTTCTGCGTGGTAAATACAAGAAAAAGCCTATGTACCACCATGGACATGGTGAACACTTTTCAACTTAATACCTACTGTCCTGCTCTCAAATAGCTGTAACTATGTATATGTAATACATATAGAGAGCCAAGTACAGAACAGTTACGATCTAGAGCTCTGGAGCCAAACAGCTCTGGTTCAAATCCTAGCTATGTCCCTTGAGGCCATGCAACCTTGGGATAATTTTCCTCACATGGAAATGATACCTCACAAAGTAAGTGCATGAAAGAAACGAGACTGTCCATTTAAAGATCCAAAGATAGTGCATTTAATAAATCCTAACTATTAACATTATTGCATCTGCTTATATTTTAATTTTGTACAATATTGTCTCACTAATCACAGGAAAAATACATGAAAATGTTTAAGTATCATATAAATTAAAGGTGGCATGGTAATAGTCTCATACGCAGTTCTCAACGCTTTCATCTTCTTGAAGACTGGGACTACATCTTAAGTCCCACAGCATATTGCACTACAGTGGGCAAACAGGAATTCCTCAGTAAATGTTTTTCGTCTGACTGAAGCAACATGGCATAGCATAAAGAGAGCAGATATCAGGAGACTAGGCTGGGATAAAATTAGTTTAAGGCAGGAGAGTCAGTCTGCAGTCATAATTTATTCATTCAACAAATATTTGTTGAACACATTCTACGTGCTAGATATTGAGTTCAGATAATTTCATCAAAAAGAAGCTGTACAAGAGTCCACAAAGACAAGGCCCGGGCCAGGCTCCACAATCCCAGCCCACTCTTAAAAGCACAAAGGCCGCAGCCAACATGGTATATAGAGCTGGACAAATGGCCAATGGCTTGGAGAGAAGCCCTATCTGCCTGCGTAAGCAGCTCTGACTGAGGGCTGGAGAGGGAGTAAAAGTGAGGGACTGGGCTGCTTCCAAGAGAATGACAGGAACTGCTGCCTGTAGATTTATTTTTATTTATACTTAATTACTCCACAGTCCAATCCACCAGCCTATACAATGTTCTTTCCTTTAGGTGTCATCTCTCCCTCCCCTGTCACCTACACAGTCTACCCTATTCCAGCCTTTGGACCATTTCACCCTGCCTTTCTGTTGTCACAGTTGCCTGCTGGCTGGGAGGCGGGGGAATGGCATTTGTGGTCATCAGAGAGGGCATTAAGAGTGGGCCTTGATGGCATGTGAATCCTGGCAGAGATCCAGATGCCTGAGAGGGTGAGAAGAAAGCAAAAGCCAAGACAACAAGAGAGGGAGAGAGGCAGGGACTAAAGTGACTGGGAGGAGTAAGGAATTCCAGTGTACAAATTCAGTCTTTATGTTGGCTTAACTAACGCTTCTGGTTTTACGTCACTCCCAGATTTATTTCAGTTGCCTCAAGACGCACTGGTCCATCAGGAAGGTGTAGAAGGGTCAAGACTGTGCTCCGTGCCTGCTGTTTCTGGGATGATACATTTGCCAGGCTCTGTGAGATGCACTGTCCCAAGTCAAAGCCACAGTGCCATCCCCAGCCCATGACACCCCTCCCCCAGTTGCCCCAGGAGAACTTAGACCCCTCTCAGTTGCTGACCTGCTAGAGAAGAGGACGTCTCCAGATCTGGGCAGCCCACCACCTTCTAGATGTGCTTCTCACCTTTCTTTTCACACTGAGAGTAGACAAAGAGTTGGGGAGCAACAGGAAGAAGAGGGGTGCTAGAAGAAGTGGGAACAGAGGGACAAGCCCCAGGGTGGAACTCTCCACCAGGGGGGCCTGGAAGTCCCTGGTCAGGTATGGATGTGGCTCTAGAGAGGCTTCCTGGTTACATGGCTTCTTTCTCCCTCTGGGAGCATCTGCTGAGCTTCATCTCCGTCAGCTGGATATACCGAATCACATTGGTGTCTGCGAGGAGAGAAACACACCTTGGGGAACCTGGTGAGGCAATGATTGCATCTACACAGAATCATGCAAAAGCTGGGTTATCAGCCTGGGGACAGGCCAGACTCACTCAGTCATGGGCTCTTCTGCCTTTCCATGGTGGTAGCTAAGAGGGCCACCAAATGTTGGCCTCCTCCTTCACTACTTTCCCTTTGAAAATGCAGACAGATCACTTTGGCCCAAGGGAAGCCGGGGGAGAGGAGAGAACTTGCCCCCATTTCTACACAGCAGCAATCCCAGTGGTTCCCAAGTCAGCAGTTAGCTGAGACTCTGCTGGGAGATTACCTTCAGGCAAACGACCAACCTCTTTACCCTCATGTCTCAGCTATAAAAGAAACACCTTCAGTTTTGAATGCCTACTTTGTGCCACACTTTTAATTTTTTAAAATTTGTTTTGATTTTTTTTTTGACATAGGGAGGGATCTATGTTGCCTAGGCTGGCCTTGTATTCCTGGGTTCAAACAATGCTCCCCACCTCAGCCTCTTGAGTAGCTGGGACTATAGATGTGCACCACTGCAACCAGCTGTGCTGTTCTTAACCTTCATTCTCGCTACAATCCTGCAAGTTGTATATCCTTATCCTCACTGTGACAAAAGGAGAGACTGAGATCTGGGAAGATTAAAGATGTCCAAGAAGACACACCATTACTGATGTATCTGACTCCAAAGCCTGCCTTTCCTGGGGATCATAAGTTCCTCATAAAATTGCTGTGAGGCCCAAAATAGATGTCTAAAAGTGCTTAATATAAAAAATAAAAAATAGTTGAATATAACTTTTTAAACTTAAGTTTAAAAATGACTTTGCATCATTGTCTTATTTTTATCTTTATAAGTAAGGTCAGACAATCAACTTTCCACAAATGGGCCAATCCTCAAACCCAGAGTCCAGTCCTTAAATTAATGAGCAGGAATGATATGGAACAATGGCTGGCTCTGAACACACCAGAGCATAAGACTTGTGGGCTACCTGGGATATCTACTTCCCAAAGTAGAAATGTATATTGTATCGTGCTCGTGAGTGCTAGGCATAGCATCCAGAACAGTGCTGGCATATAGTGAGTGCTCAAGAAAATTCTGCTAAGTGAGTCCGATTCTTTCTTAGTTCTCATATTGTTTGTAGTATCGTGGGTGGAACACAATTTATATACAGAAAACAAACCAACAATACATAAAAATAAAGAGAAGTTCTTAAAAAGACAAAGGACTATACATTTAGATGTTTGCAAATTGATCCGAAAATTCTTAAAAGACTTCTTAGAAGAAGGATTGCATTTTTAAAAAATCAACCTCATGACCACAATAGCAACATCAAGCCAAAGCCATCATAAATGTTACCTCTTCAGAGAGGCTCTTTCTGCCCACCTGGCCTACAGCAGCACTCCTTTTGCTCTGCTCTGTTGTCGCCATAGCATTTAGTACTACTGAATAACGTATCATTTATTTGTCCACGTGTACTCTACCCATCTTCCTCCACTATAATTTAAGTTCCTTGACGGTAATACCTTTTTTTTTAAATAGGGTCTCACTATATTGCCCAGGCTGGTCTCAAACTCCTGGGCTCAAGCCATTCCCCTGCTCAGCCTCCTGACTGCTGGGACTACAGGCACATGCCACAATGCCTAGCAAAAACTTTCTTTTGCTCACTGCTATGTACTCCCCACCTAGAACAGCTCCTGGCCTACTGGACTCTCTTAATAAATAACTGGGATGAATGAACAAGTTATTGGACAAGCTAATGTACACGAGCTAAAGGGATGGTGTAGATAACACATGCTCTCAGGACTGGAATTTGACTGGAGAAGTTTGAGCACCCCCTGAAAGATGCTGGGTTTAACACCAAACTGTCTGTCTTATATGCAGATGTGAACTCCTCATGGGCAGAGGCCATGTTTTCTCATCTATATTCCTGGTGCCAAGCACAAATTGTGGTAAATGATAAGAATTCAATATATATTGGTTGAGTAAGTAGAGCTGTATTCTGAATGGAAAGGGGAAAAAATTCTGTAGGGTCTTTGAAGAGAAGTGGTGTTCATGATTCCTGGAACCTTGGTTCCCAGTGGATGCATGGACTGTGCGCTGTCTTTATCCCGGGTCCTACGATACACCTGACCCCTAATTTGCCATCTCTGCCCACTCCTGGCCCTGCCAGCAAGGGATGCTATCTGATGCAATAACAAGGCTCAGGAGCTCTCAGCGGGGGCCAGCAGTGAGAAAGCAGGGATCGTAGTCTTACCTGTTGGTTGTCGGGTCCTTGCTTCTTTCAAGTAATAGAGTGCTTTGTCATAATCCCCAAGGTGGTAGAAGGCCACACCAGACCGGTAAAGGGCCTTAAAGTTCTCACCTTCCTTCTTCAGGACCTTGAGGCAATACTCCTTGACTCGCTCATAGTTTACCAGCTCAGCCTGGAGCAGGCAGGCTGCAGAGGAAGGCAAAATAAAAGGAAAATGCTATCAACGTAACAGTGGCAGGCTCTGAATATCTTTCTTTAGTTCCTTCTTCCCAAAGGACATTTAATAGTGTTGGGCCTTTCCCATGGGGTTTATGCCATGAAGTTTGTCACCTAACACTTCTGGGATATAGGACCAGGTTTACCGCTAACAAAACATGTGACCTTAAGCAAGTTACTTAGTCTGGTCCTATAGGTTGAATTATGTCTCCTCTAAAAGATATGTGTGGTTCACCTCCTCCTCCATCTGAAAAAAGCGAATAACCTAATTCTCAATACCTGACAATGTGACCTTATTTGGATAGGCTCGGATCTTTACAGAGGTAATCAAATTAAGAGGTCTTTTGAGTAAGACCTAATCTAATGTGACTAGTGCAAATATGGATGGATGGATGCAGAGGGGAAAGAAAATATGAAGAGACACAAGTAGAAGACAAGTGTAGCCAAGGAATGCCTGAGGCTTCCAGAAGCTGGGAAAAAGGCATGGAACAGAGAGAGGAATCAAATCACCAACATCTTGATCTTGGATTTCTAGCATCCAGAATTGTAATACATCTGTATTACATTAAGTCACCCAGTTTATGGGACTTTGTTACAGCAACCCAAGGAATAAGTTACCAGAGGCAATAATAATAATAATAATAATAATAATCACAGCCAGTATTTGTTGAATGCTTACATTATTGGTATAATGCTTACCTTGTCATTTTACATGTACTATCTGATATAATCTCAGCACTCTATGATGTAGGAACTATTAGTATTAGCATTTTATAGGTAAGGAAACTGAAGCTCAAACAATTTCCCAGCTGGGTGCCAGAGGCTCACACCTGTAATCCTAGCTACTCAGGAGGTAGAGATCAGGAGGATCACGGTTTGAAGCCAGCCCAGGTAAATAGTTTGAGAGACTTTATCTGGACAAAAACCAAAACAAAACAGGGCTGACAGAATGGCTCAAATAGTAGAGTGCCTGCCTAGCAAGTGTGAGGCCCTGAGTTCAAACCGCAGCATCACACACACACACACACACACACACACACACACACACACACACAAAGAAATTTCCCAAGTGAACACAATGTGCAAGAGGCAGCAATGAGACTTAAACCAGAGCTATCTAACTCCAGAACCCAGGGTCTTTCTTATCAAGTCACTGGTGGTGGTGGCGGTGGGTGGGGGGATTATATAAAATAATGACCACAGAGTATTTAACCAATAGCTATGTGACCACACAGTGAGCATTCAAGAAATGTTATGCCTACAATTATTTTCAGCCTTGTGTAATTCTCTGCCTCTGATTTCCTTCAAGGAAAGTCTGTCTTTCCCTTTCATACTTGCTTGTCTCTGCAGTTTCTGAACACAGGGGCTTTCTGAGGGACTAGTGTCCAGCTTGTAGAGGGCACGTCTCTGAAAATGATGGATGGATATCCAAGGCAGTAAGAAACTGAAGTGCCCATGTGGGAAGGACCCTTCCTCATTCCATAAAACAACCATGTTTGAGTAAAGCATCTCCCCTTGAAGGATTTTCTCATTATCTTGGAGCCACAGGGCTACAGACAGGGAGAAGATGTCCCTGGAGGATGACTGAACTGTCTTGGAGACTGGTTGAAATTTTGAGCCCTAGACACCACACTGTAAATGACTCCAGCCCCACCTCCATCCAACCACTCAAATATTTAGTAGGCATAGACTAAGAGCGAAGAGGTGTGCTATACATTTTGGAGAGGTAACACCTGTCTACTTCATCAAAGTGAACAAAAACAGAGATGTAGGAGTCAAAACTGCAGCTTCCTGCCAAGACGTGGTTGGGTGGGGAGCAGAAGGAGCTGCTGATGAACATAGGGCTCTTTCCTTGGGCTCCGATTGGAAGAGATGTCCTCAGGATAGACGCAAGTTGCTGATTTTAATCTGAAAGGTTCTAACTTTACTTGTTTCAATCCCTTAAATAACTTGGCTGAATTGCCAAGTTTCTTTTTAAGAAACTGAACCTTCCATTGCACATTTTGGACCAAAAAACCATCCTTTTACAGATGGAGAAGGAAGTGAGCCACACAGACTCTCAAGTTGAAGGTATGAAAACCAGGAAGTGAAAGAGGGAACTCAGATCTAGAAACTGACTTTTCAGGTTTCGCTGGCTGGAGGGCAGCAGACTGCTCACCCCCAATAGTGGCTGTTCACCAAGAACCACAATCAGCTAGTATAGCAGGGGCTCCTTCCCTATAAGCTGATGCCATGACCCCACCCCATGCCCTGCATCCTCAGGGTTCTAGAGGATGTAGGAGTGGAAGGGGTGAGACAGTCTGTCCCCTTCTACAGCCCCAGGCTGCTGGAGCTCTGCACACAGGAAGGGGTTCTGTAAGAGGGATCCTAATGCGATCCCCGCTGATGGTAACCTGTGTGGGACTTGGTTCCAACATCTCCCAGAACTAAAGGATTTCCTGTGTAGTTTCCCTGTGCCCTGTGTGACGTCTTCTCTGACCAGGCACAGTAACTTTTTCTGGTCTAGTCTTCCATTTTCAAATACATACTTCTCTTTGCTGACCTGGGAGCCTAGGAAATGGACCTTTGTTTCTTTAAAAAACATTTTTTAGATTTCTAAAATAGCAGGGAAAGGAAGAAAAGAGGCTTGGAAATAGGAAAGCCTTCCCCTTTCCCCAGCCCCTAAAAGGTAAAAGGAACTATGGCAATCCATTTCTATGACTCATTTGGTGAAAACCTTTCTAATTCCCTGTGGGGAATCCGGTGGGACCTGGGATACCTGGCTGTGGACCAAGGTTCAGATGTGGTGGGAGATGGAGCCAGGCTGGTTACAGAGTGTGGAGCCCCTGATGACACTGGAGGCTGGGCCCAGGAAGACAGAGAAATGGGCTGCTGTCCAGAGAAAGGCTAGGCCAGGAGAAGGAATCTGAGAGGTGAAATCCAGATAAGAAGGCGGGGTGCCAGGCCAGGCCTCTAAAGAGGATGTGAGGGTGGAGGGGGTGAGAGAGTCTGGAGACTGCCCTCAGTCCTACTTGAGGAAACTCTCTGCTTTGGGTGGGGAGTTATTGGTACATGTAACACACCCATAGGCTGGTGAGATGGGATATTTGTAGGCACATTTGAGAGTTGAGAGACTAAAGAATAGTCTGACTCCTGATCATTCCTTCCTTGTCTCTGTGACTACTGACCAGGGCCTGGAGTTTGCAAGGATCCCTAGAGTAAGTGGCATGGTCTAACAGCAATGTCCTCCTCCTCACAGTTAGAAATCCCTTACTGGTGTCAGAGCTGGGGCTTAGTATGTCACATATACTATGTATTTTGATCTTCACAACTGAAACAGGCTCTATTTTTATGCTTTTTTTCATAGATGATGAAATTGAGCACCAGAGACATTAGGTAACTTGCTGAAGTTCACTCAACTAGAAGGGGGTGGAATTAGGATATCAGCCAATTTTCTGCCAGGCTCTTAAGACTGTGCACTTGACCATGGGGCCTCTGCATTTGAGGCCCACCTTTGCCACTAGCCAACATTGCAAGAATCACTTATTCTTTGTATACCTCAGATGTCTTATCTGCAAAACAAGGGACCTACACCCCACTAAATAATTTTTGTCATCTCTTTAGTTGTAACAGTCAATGAATACTAATGTTTGTCACTTAACAGAAAGACAGTTGTTTCACTGGTTCATCTTCAAAAGGAATTCCATCCTCCCTGTTAAGTGAAGTATATTCTATGGGGTGACGATTACAGTAGTCAAAAGGAGTTCTGTAAGACAATTCCTTCTGCTCCATGTGGAGAGGGAGCTTGTTCCTGGGAACAGGACAATGAGCCTAGACTCTGAAGATATGTCTGGATTCAAAGATGCAGTCACTTGGTGGCAAAACAGGTACATGGTGGGAGATGTGCCTGCACTGGATACATGACAATGGGCCTGGGCTCCCAAACAACCATATCTAGAAGCCCTTTGGAAAACAATGAGCTCCTTCTCCAGTCAGTCCAAGATTGTCTTCCTGATTCTTTGGCTACCTTTTAGGGCAGATTCTGCCTCAGAAGACTACTTCAGAGCCTATCCTTATCCAATCTCTACCAAAAAAAGAAAGAAAAAATTCTACACAGGGAGAGAAGACTCATTTTACAGAAGTTTCCAGTTCGAATTGTCATCCCAACAGCAGATACCTCACTTAATTAACAGGGAAGAGGATGGGATTCCTTTTGGGAAGGAGTGCCAGCAGGAACACAGCCTTCCTTGAGCCTAATGTAGGAATAGTACCAGTCGTGGTCAGTGCAACTTATAAGAGAAAGGTGAATTTGGAGAACAGGAATTGGGGCTGTAAATCTCCAACCACCCTTCCTCAACAGAGATTCTTCTTCTATTGCCAACTTGGGTGGTCGAGGTATGATTATGTGCAAGAGCTGGCAGGCTTTCTTAGCTCCATCAAGGTGTCTGTGGTCATAAGAAATTAGAGAATCAGTGACTTAAAGAGTCCCACTGTTCAGCCATGCACAGGTAGAGAAAATCATGAGTTCCATGCTTCCCAAAGCAACCACATCAAGACCTCAGGCTGTAGCCTGTCAGGGTCTCCTCACTCTGGCACCTGTTTTGTTTTTGTTTTTCCTGGTACACATGGGGCACAGTGAGTGCCCCTACTGGCATGAGATTAAGGGAAAGCAGATGAGAGGAAGAACAGGTTCATGTTGTCACCGGCTTTCTTTTTATGGCTGACTCACTATAGTTTGCCCTTACCTGTTTAACAGAAGGGAAGGAGGGAAGCAGAAGGGAAGGAAGGAAATCCCCATGAGGATCGAGGAGAAGGAGCCCACTCTTTAAGCTGGCCTTACTGTTCTGTTGTGTCTCGCGTCCCCCCTGTGACCCATGTTGGAGTCCTTAACACTCAGTACCTGAGAACGTGATCTTATTTGGACATAGGGTTTTTACAGAGGTAATAAAGTTAAGAGGAGGTCATAGAGTAGGCCCTAATCCAAGTGACCT